GTGCGGAAGCGTGGCTTTGAGGTGGTGTACATGACGGAGCCCATTGATGAGTACTGCGTGCAGCAGCTCAAGGAGTTTGATGGCAAGACACTGGTATCAGTCACCAAGGAGGGGCTGGAGCTGCCTGAGGATGAGGAAGAGAAAAAGAAGATGGAGGAGAGCAAGGCTAAGTTCGAGACCCTCTGCAAACTCATGAAGGAGATCCTGGACAAGAAGGTGGAGAAGGTGAGATGGGCAGGGAGCTCAGCCCGGGGCTGTGTCCTGGGCTGGAGGGAGGAGGGCTGGGCCCTCCGCGATGCAGGCAAGGGCCCCAGCTCAATGCATGCCTCTCATCTCCTGCAGAGGAGCCGCTAAAGGAGACTGGAGGTCCCAGCATGCACTGCACCATCTTGCTCTAAGCAGCCAGGCTGCAGATGAGGGGCACTGACCCAAATACGTGCATTGATGGGAGAGGGTAAGTGCGGGAAACACGCAGTGGGTGCTGAAGGTGCTGGCTGAGCTGTCCAAACTGGTCTATGCAGCAGTTCTGGAGCTGCTTGGAGGATCTCTGCTTGCTTTGGGTTGTCCCCAGGTGAACCTGGGGCAAAGACATTGCGTATTGTGTGTGCTGTGGCTGGGCCCAGTCCAGGGCATATGGGGACCTTGCTCTGCTAACCCTTGGCTACATTGGCAGGTAACTATCTCAAACCGGTTGGTCTCATCTCCTTGCTGCATCGTCACCAGCACCTATGGTTGGACAGCCAACATGGAGCGCATCATGAAGGCTCAGGCGCTGCGGGACAACTCTACCATGGGCTATATGATGGCCAAGAAGCACCTGGAGATCAACCCTGACCACCCAATTGTGGAAACCCTCCGCCAGAAGGCTGATGCTGACAAGAATGACAAAGCTGTCAAAGACCTGGTGGTGCTACTCTTTGAAACTGCTCTGCTGTCCTCTGGTTTTTCCCTGGAAGATCCCCAGACCCACTCCAATCGTATCTACAGGATGATCAAGCTGGGGCTTGGTAGGTGCCCATGCAGCTTCTTGGGCCCGGAGCAGGTCCCAAAGCAGGTTAGGTGGGCAGGCTGGCATAGATGGAACTGTCTTGGGGCAGGGGGGAGGCCAGTAAGGCAGCCATGCTGGTGGGATGTGCGGAACTGGCTGTGTAAGGTGGCTAGGGGCAGGTGAAAACATAGAACAAGGTACTTTAGGAGGGCTCAGGGCTCTGAGTGCACTGTCCTGTCCTCCACAAGGCCAGGAGCCGCCACCAGGCTGCTGAGATGACAATCTGAGGCTTTTATTCTTCACAGTGAATGTCAAAAGTCTGCCATGAGAGATGCGACTTACCTGGTGAAACAGCTTGTGCTTGCACCTAACTTATTTCTCCGAACTGGCTTTTTTAGGCAAAAGTGTAAACGAAGAGGTGCCGTGGCTTGGCATAACTACTGGATGCTAGTAGCCCTGTCCTTCAGGCTGTGGGCAGGAGTCACCCTTGGCTCTGGGAGACCCTGTTCCTCTGGGATCACTTGGTATCACTTGGAGGCCTCACCTCTTCCTTTCTTCCCCTCTCCCAGGCATTGATGAAGATGAGGTGACTGCAGAGGAGCCCAGCACAGCTGTCCCTGATGAAATCCCCCCTCTGGAAGGAGATGAAGATGCATCCCGCATGGAAGAGGTAGACTAAAGTAGGAGGAAGCCTCTTCCCTCACCTGCCAGGCCTCTGCCCCACCTCATGTCTGTTTAGGAGGGGGTCTGCTCCCACCAGCTGCTAGTGACTCCTTGGTGCTGTCTCTTTTTTTTGGATTTGATTGGTTGGGGCTTTTTTTTTTTGGTGGGGGCAGGAGGGCATGATTCCCTGTTTGTCAGTAGTGAGTGATTCAGGCAGCCCGAGGCCTGTCTGTTCTGTGTCTTTCTGCTTGTGTAGGAACAGCTGATGGGGAGTGGAGGTGAGGAGGTATCAGGCCTCCCATGTCTCCCCTCCATGGGGTCTCCCGTGTTCCCAGTAGGCATCAAACACTGCCCTTGTTCCATCGGGGTGGAAGAGCCCTTCCTCTGAGCTGCTGCCTCCCCGAACCCCCAGGGTGTAGGATATTGTATTTCGGTTGGCTTGGTTATTTTTTGATTATTTTTCTGTTGCTTTGTTCTACTGGAATTAAAGTATCAAAGAACGTGGTTTACGCGGTGGGGTCGCTTGTGTTTCATGCCTACCATATGGAGGAAAGGGTCTCAGCCTGTGCCTGAGGGTGTTGGGCCACTGGTCTCTCCCCTGCCCTCACCGGTTTTCAAAGCCCTGCTTTAGCTGATCTCTATCCCTTCCCTGCCCAGCCACCATGAAGTGGGGCAGAGAAACAGCGTGCAGGTGGAGTCATCTCCAGCAGGTAGCAGTTGTCCACCCGGAGCACTGCATGCCCCGCTGACTGGGAACAAACCTTTCCAATCTGCAAGTGTCAGCTGGGCCAGGACGCGAGCCTGCACTGCTGCTGGGCCAGGACGCGAGCCTGCACTGCTGCTGGGCCAGGACTCGAGCCTGCACTGCTGCTGGGCCAGGACGCGAGCCTGCACTGCTGCTGGCTGGGCTGGGCTGGATCTGGGGGCAGGAGCTGTGGCAGGAGCCATCTGCCTGTTCCCTTGCAGTGCAGAGCAGGGGGTGGAGTGACAGCTCAGGATTGTACTTGAGCTGACTCTCTTCAGCTCGTAGGGCAAACTGCTCTGGCTCTGTGCTATAGATTCCACCTTTCCTCCCACCTCCAGCCTGTCCTTTCTGGGCTTCTGCAGCCCTGGGGGCGGTTGGCAGTATCTGGCCGCCCCCCGGCTTTTGCCTGTGTCCCAGAGGACAGAGAAGCCTGGGGCATCACCTCTGATTCATCTGTCCCTTGCACTGAACTTGTACCTCAGCCACAATGGCCCTGGGGTTTGGCAGGCAAAAGTGACACCAATGTGCAGTTCTCTTGCTGGCTGCTTGCCAGCAACGACAGGCACAAAATGGAGTGGGCTTTAGCCAGTATCCGTCTTCAACAGGGAGGGAGGAGGCAGAGCCTGCTGGAGTCCCTTGTCGCACAGCGCGGGGCACTGCGCTGCAAGTGTGGCAGTTCTTTGGGTGCAGGCTGCTAGGGCAGTGCTGGAGCTGAGCTAGCAAATGCCTTCAGGGTGGTTTTCTTTCCCTGAGATGGGAGAAAAAAATTGTTTAAAAGTAAGATTTCTCTCTGGATAGGAAGGTTTTGCCAAATAACAAATTAGTAAAGTCAATTCTTCTTTTTAACTTAGAATGCTTGTTGTTTTTTTTTTTCCCACTAATTTTTTCTTTAAATCTACATTTAAATTAGAAAAGGGATCCATTCCCAACCTGGCAGACAATGTGTTTTCTTGCCCAAAGAAAAAAATCCATTTTCAGTCTGTCAGCAGATGGTGGGGGCAGACATTTTGGGGGAATTTGTAGGGGAAAGATGAAGGGCTGTGAGGCTGCACAGGCACTTTGAAGAGCTCAGAGGTAGGAAAGCAGCATACGTAAAACTGCTGGAGAGCCAAGTGCTCTGAAGCCTGGGCTGTGCTCAGCACCAGCTCTGTTATCCCTGCAGGCTCAGCTAACTCAGCACTGTGAAAAGCAGCTCCTGTTCCCAGTCCCCTCCTGCCCCTCCTGAGTCTCCCCTTTATCTAGCTCCGTTAGTCCAAGGTGTCCTGTCTCTGACCCCAGACCTCGCCATGACCAGATGCCTAGTCCTACAGACAAGGTTTTTCACCAGGCCTCCCGCAGGTACGAGCGGGATGTACCACCCACACCCCAAGCCTCCCCTGGCGCTGGTGTGGGGCTGGTGTTGGGGCAGATGCACTGCATAAAGGATGGGCTCCTCCAGGGCCTTGCTACAGCACTGGTGGCCCTGGCTGGCAGGTGCTCAGCAGGTCTCTGCACCATTTCTATCTAGCTACGCAGGCTGCAGCTACACCCACTGGGGCTGCCCAAGCTGCACCGGGCAGGGAACCCAGGAGCCCAACCAGAATCAGGCGAACAGCTCCTCCACCTCCTCACCAGCATAAGCAGAGGTCCAAACCCAGCTACGCTCCCCATGTGTGTGTGCAAGGATCTTGTTCTCAGCTCTGGTCAGGGTCCAACCCTGGCTGACACCTGCCTGGGTGAAGGCAGAGGCGTCTCTGTTTGGAAAGGAAAGACAGACAGCTTTGCTGTCTCACAGAGACTAGGGACATGGGAAGGGCTGGGAACTCTCTCCCCTTTGTCTAGGTACATGGGAAAAACACTCAAAATGAACATTTACCCCCAGGGCACTATATGCAGCATATTTTTAATTTAATAAAATAAAGAGAAAAAAATTGCCTTTCAAAAGTACCAAAACCTGCTGGCTTGACAGTCAGGTTGTGTTGAGGAGAAAAGGGTTAACCAGTAAAACCCAGGCTCCTGGGGAAGAGCAGCTTTACCTGCTCTGTCCCCTGCTGCCTGGGGAGCAGGTGCCCACTCGCTCCGTCCCCTGCTGCCTGTGGAGCAGGAACAAGGCACTGCCAGCAGGCTCTGCCCCATCTCTCAGCCCTCCCCGGGCACAGTGGGGCTCTGGCCAGGCCCCAGGAAAGCCGGGGCCTCCAGCTGGCAGAAGAGGGGCTGTTTGTGCTTCTCTGAATGGCAACTACAAAGCCCAGGAACAGTGGCACTGAGACACCCCGAGGCGATGCTGGGATTTCTGGCCTTTGGCCTGTGACAGCAGCGGATGTAACCAAAAAGCAACCTAGAACAACTCGGCAAGCCTTGGGAACCGTACCGGCCAGCCTCAGTCTCTGCATAAAAATCAGCCTGGGCCAAGGGGAGCGAAGAAAAGTGTCTCAGAGCAGGGGCAAGGAACTGATAAAACCAAACTGGGAGGTAACTGGCTTTCACTGCAGAGTGCCCTCCCAGAGCAGATCCCAGGCCTGGGGTAGGACAGGTTGGGAGTCCTTCCCTTAGCTGTGCCTGTCCTACCCAGAGCACCTCCTGGGAGGGGGGCTGAGAGCTCCCCCCACCGTGGGACAGGCTCAGCTTGGGACTTGCCTCACATGGAGGTATTTCAAAGAGAAAGCTAGTGTTTTGCTTGCCCTTCTGCTGAGCTGTGTAGTAGTGACAGAAATGGACAAGCATTAGCCAAGAGGCAAGACGGTGCCAGGGAAAAGAGCTCCCTTGTTCATCAGTGACTTTGGAGAGAAGCCACAGGACAGAGGTGGGGCGGGAGTACCAGCAGCCCCACGCTGGTTTGCCCCCAGGATGTGAGCCCCCAGGCCCGTGCCTTGGCTGGAAGTCTTTGACCTATTAAGGCAAATAGAGAGGTTTGGAGCTGTGGCAACCCAGAGCATTCCCTGGGCTTGTTCCAGCCCCTTCCCCAGGAAAAGCAGGTGGAAAAGTGAGTCACTGGTCCAGCCTATCCGTACCCCACTCTGCTTCTCGGTGGGTTCTGAGAAATCAAGCAAGTGCCCCCAAGCGGAGGCAGGACAGCAGGCATGGCTTAAATGCCATGGCCCCAGCTCCTTAGACCTTTTGTACAGGGGTCTCGCCTGGCGGGAGCTTCTTACTGCGCTTCTTCATGCGGCTGCGGGCGTAGACACGGAGGAAGAGGGCCACGAAGACAACGGCTACACCCAGCCCACCCACGACAGTGACAGTGTGCCCGTAGATGAGGCAGGAGAGGAGGATGGCAAAGGCCTGGCGGAGTGTCATGATGATGGTGAAGACAGCTGCCCCGAACTGGTTGATGGTGTAGAAGATGAAGAGCTGGCCGCAGGCGGAGCACACGGAAAGCAGCACGGCGTGGGCCATGAACTCCGAGTGGCGGGCCATGAAGCGTAACGATTCCAGCAAGGCACCCTGCTCCAAGAGCGAGCCCACCGTGAAAAGGCAGGAGAAGACATTGACGCCAAACATCATCTGCACGGGAGACATCTTGTAGGTGAAGAGGGCGTCCTGCCAGTTGGAGGTGAAGCTGTCAAAGATTATGTAGCCAGCCAGGAGGACTATGCCTGAGAAAGTGGTGACAGTGGACACGTGCCTGTTGGGAGCACTGGAGAGCAGGAACATGCTGACCCCCACAGAGATGAGGGCAGCAGTCAGGTACTCCCAGTACTCATAACTCTTGCGTGACACCAGTTTGCCCATCATCATCACTGGGATCACTTTGGAGGCCTTAGCCAGCACTTGGGTGGGGAAGCTGATGTATTTGAGCGCCTCATACTGGCACCAGCTGCTGAGGATGTTGGAGAGGGAGGCGAAGGAGTATTTGTACATAGGAGCCCCGTGGCGCGGCTGCTTGGTCAGGGCGCAGTACAGACCAGCCACCGTGAAGGCCAGGATGCGGTTCATGAACACTAGGAACTGGGAGTCCTTGAACTTCTCACCAGGGTCCGTTTCGGTGGCACCGTATGTTCTTGTCATCACACGCTCCTGGAGGACGCCCCACGTGAGATAGGAGGCCTGCGAAGCAGGAGGAGCACAGGGAGAGTCAGGACCCGCAAGGGCAGCTGCGAGCAACCATGGGAAGCACAGACCCCAGGAGATCCTTGCTTGCCCCGGTGCCGCCTCATCCTCTGCATGGCAATGCTTCCCTCAGACATGGGGAGATGGGGCCACCCTCCGCTCCACCCGCCTGAGGGAACCCACTGTCCCATGTGGTTACAACCGGGAACATCCCGTCCCAAACAAAACCTGGTCAATTTATAGCCTCTTCAAGCGGACAGAAGCCAGCAAAGCAAACATCCTGGCGTACAGCAAGCGGTTATGTTTTAAGCTGCCTGTTGAACCAGACGGACGGGATCAGGGAACGTTATTGATGCACAGCTGCAGTTTTGGTGCCAGCTCCCTGCGGCAGGTCCTGGCAGTTCTCCCAGTGGCCTCTGCATTGGTTTTCACTTCCAACTCCCTAGGCCCAGTTCTTCCATCCAAATCAATTCTAGCTTCAAACCCAGCAGATGAAATTGTCCTCCAGGGATGATCACTATTCTGGCTGTCACCTCCACTAATTCTGCAGCCCTGGTGCCGCAGTACCAAGCCCCTCACAGAAGTAACACAGACTTCCTCTCACCACACATCCCCTCCCGAGGCAGAGAAAGATGGAAGGACTTGTTGGTGACCCGCAGCAAGTCTGAATGGGCCAGGATAATAGGCCAGAGAGTGGGTGTCTTCTGCTGGCTATGGGATCTGTGGGTTTTTCTATCACAATGCCCACATTTCTATTTTTAATCCTCATAGACCCAAAAAGCTGCCCTTCCTAATGATGCTCAGGCTGTAGCTAAGACTTAGGGAAACTAGGATTAAAAAAATCCTCTTTATCTGTAGCTGAATTCAGTATATTTCTCTCCAGTATTCGAATCCAATCCATCAAGGCAGGACACGTCAGCCCCAGAAGGTGACCCAGAGGAGAGCCTGGGAGATAAGAAGGCTCAAACTATCTGCTGCTCTGGCATGAGGGCCAGAACAAGAGCAGCCCTAACAATCTGCTGAATCACAGAATTTTCCCTATCCATGGCTGCAGAGGACTGCGATCGGACAGAGAAGAGGTCCCAACCCGGATGACACCAGCTAAATGGACCTCCACAGCGCTTTGAAGGGACACAGCAGCGCCGGTGGACTATCCTGGTTGAGAGGCTGCGTCCCAGCCTCCAACCCTGCCCCGATCAAGGACAGCACTGCGTCCCTGGTCTTCAAGGAACAGACGGCCGCAAACCCACCACCCACCTCCTGCTCCCAGAGGGGGACGGCCACACACACACACGCACAGGGCTCCTACCTGTAGACCAGCAGCACAGAAGAGCAGCTTGAAGACCTGTCGGGCTGTAGAGGACTCTGGGGGCTCCACTCGGGGTGGCAGGGAGCCATCCTCCTGGTGTACAGACTTCACCTCAGAGCCAAACACGCATGATTTGATGACAGGGAAGCAAATGCCTCGGCCTGAAGGGGGTAAGAGAACACAGAGACAGAATTAACCACAGCCTGGGCACCACAAGCCGCACCAGCTTGAGAGGTGAAGCCTCCGTCCTTACTAGCCTCCGCATCTGCTGGCGCAGCGGCCTCAGAGAAATTTGTTTCAGGGTAGCACCTAGACAGCTCTGGGATGCAGCTCTGCGAGCAGCTCACTCCTGGTCTGACAGAGCTGGTCAGGGCAACAACCTGTCAGCGCTGAATGGGGTGCAGAGAGCTCACAGGGAGGCAGGATATGGAAGGGAAGCTCCTGCCCTTACCTGTCTCCAGGTAATTCCTTCTCTTGAAGTACTGGATGAGGAGGAATCCCGGCACCACGATACTTGCGTAGCCAGCAGCATTAACAAAGAAACGGAAGAGCCAGAAGTCCCCCCACGCATCCTGCAGGGCAGCGGGGATCTGTTCACCAGTAGCCATGGTAGGGAGGGAAGCCAGCACGAGGGGAAGGCAAAATCTGTGGAGAGACGAAGAGGCAGGCGGTGGGCAACCAGTAAACGGCCAGCTCCACTCCGCATGCCTGTGCCACCCGGCCAGCTCCCCACCGGCAGGCAGCACCCAGACCCCCACGGCAGGGATGATGGCAGCGCATGGAGTAGGAAAAGCCCTCTGGAGTTCAAGAGCACATGCCAAACATTTATGTTTGCTTCTGTTAAGGGTGTTTGCTCTGGCTTAGGAACACGTGGACTTGGCAACTTGGATTTCCAGGATCGGAGAGAATGTTTGAACACCGTTGTAACCATCCGGTTTTGACAACGCCCTTAGTCCAAATGCAAGGAGCACCTCACACCTCACACCTCACCTTTGTAGATTAAACTTTAGCGCAGCTCCTGGGTGGAAAAAGAAAAGGTCATTGAATGGAAAAAGCGACTCCTACCTAGCAGCTCATGTTTCAAGCCCGTGGCCCGAGCGGCCTTCCTGCAAGAGCACACGGTTCAGAGCTTCCCCCTCCAGCTGCACCAGCTGCATGGAGGAGAGCCGGGGAGGGCTCAGGCTGCCAGCCTCCCCCACCTCCCCCGGCAGCCCGGGAAGGGAGCGTGCCAAGGCATTCCCCACCGCTCAGAGGAAACTACCAGGGCTCACCCGCTTGGCCAGACACAGCCAGAGAACAAGGCTGGGAAGGAACTTTCCTACCAGCTGGGTGGTTGGGATTTTACCAGGACTATCCGAGAAGGTATAGCTGATATTCTTCAGCTATAGCCCTAAGGTGGTGACCTAGCCAGCTCTAATACTCCCTGAAGGAGTTCTTCCCTCCACTGTTCCCTCCCTCACAGAGGCAAACCTGCGATATTCAGGGGCCATGCAAAGAACAAGAGCACCGGGTACACAACAGAATGAGCAAGCTGGCAAGGACTTCCTACACCCTGCATCCTCCCCTCGCACAGCAAGCTGTGGATTCCTGCATCAGGGTAGGCGGTGTCCTCGGTCCGTGCTCCATCCCTGCCCCAGTCTCTCCGGTAGAAAAAGCCTCCTGATTGCCTTGGGGGCCAGGTGAGGGTGCTGTGGGGCTGGCTACGTAAACACGCAAGCAGAAGCAAGCTCTCAGCTCCTGGGATGGAAAGGGCCAGAGATGTTAATCCCCCCTTTCCCAAAAACAACGGAGCCATAGGAATTGAGGCCCTGTGAGGTGTACCTGGCCCCAACATAATATAGCTGTGACCTCTAGTAGCCCTCACATGAAACTCAGAGACTTACAAACTTAGAGCTTTAAAGGCAAGAAAGTCCCCTGCCATTTCATGAACAACAAGCCCTCCCCACCAACCTCTTGTCCCCTTCGGAAAGGCCTTGGGGGCTTTTCTTATCCACAGTTGCTGTGGCCAGGACCCTAGAGTCCAACCACCTGACCTAAGCTGAGGCTGTGTTTCACCCTGAAATCTCCCTTCTGTGACTTAAAGGACCCAGAAATTCCCAGCTCAGGGAGAAGTGCAAACAGCTGGGGGTGGGTTTCTGTGCCTGCTTCCTACCCCCCCCCCCCATAGCAAAGGCAGTTTGATACCTCCAGCCCTGTCTTCCCTCCTGCTGCAGGGGCATCACTGCAGGCTGCAGGGGTGCTGCAGGATGCAAGAACAGGGCTCGGTGCAGGCACCTGGGGCTGAAGTTGCCCATATTAAGTAACCCTGGCTGATGGCAGCGGCCCTCTTGCCGGGGAGAGGGTGTAGAAATGCCGTTCGCTTTTGCAGAAGTCAGCTATAAATGGCAGGGTCGGTTGCTACGCTCATGGGCCACGTCTCCCTTGGGCCACGTCTCCCTTCAACCTGACGAGAGACCGAAAGCCAGCCGGCTCCCTTCACCGCGCCTGCGCCCGCTGTTACCCCCGCTGGCCCCCTCAGCGCCGCCACGGGAGGAGAACCAGCTCTGCTCTCCCACAGCGACCGTGAAGAGGAGGCGATGGAGGGACAATGGCTCTCTCTATGCCTGCGCTAGCAATTCCCAGGCCCCGAGAGCTGACTCAGTGCAGCAAGCCCTGCCCTCCCTGCCGAGGCCGGGAAGGAACAGGGACGCCAGTGTTACAGGTAGAAAGGGGGGGTCCGCGCAGGGCAAGCAGGTGGCACGCCGAGGCATGAAAGGAGCCTTAGTCTGGGGCCTGTGGAACAGCCAGGGAGCCGAGACGACAGACTGGGCTACTGTTCCCCTCGGCTCTCAAATGCGTGGCTCCAGAGCCGGGCTGGGCCACAGCTCTCTGCCTGTGATGCAAAATTTGGGTCCCGGGCCAGAGGTCTGGAAAAACCCCAAAAATTCCTGCCTGCAGCCCTGCTCCTCTGGAGCGCACCTCTGGCACCTCGAAGGGCTGAGGGCAAACGCAAGCCTGGAGCTCGGAGGTCCAGGGCCCGCCACCAACGCCTCGGGACCTCATCCCGCCTCCCCGCCCCGCAGCCGGCTCAAAGCCGGGTGGCAGGGACAGCCTGCAGTCGTCCCCCCCTGGGCCACCGCCACTGCCCAGGGGC